GAAAAATTTAAGGGGGTCTGAATACTTTCGGTACCCACTGTACATCTTGGATGCCCTGGGGGTTAGCAGATAAACATAAAATTTTCATTTTTAGGTGAACTATCCCTTTAAAGCACGGCTTGGTTCAGTGCATCGGTTGTTGATTGGCGTTGTGGGGTTTAAATGGCACTGAATGACTGGAGAAGTCTGCCGTTTTCACCAGAAAGACTAAGTTTTTAAATTTTAAATAAACATGACAAGGCCGGACGGACATTAATATAAAAATCTCGAGGGTCATGAAGTTCCAGATGCCAGAACTTGAGACTTGAAGACAAAGCCGAGACGCCAGCTGTACATATAACAATCCTGGTCATATATTCCACTTTATTACAAAGCAGAACCTGAGACTTCATCTTCAAACACTTGCTACCATTATCTCACTCGACAGGCAGGTACAGCGTGTTTGATTCACACTGTTTTTATTGTGCTGTGTGAGACGGAGAGACTCGCAGCGGCCTAAAGTTTCCTGTGTTCATTCATATATAAGACTGTAGAACAGCCTGGGAACTATGTGTTACTCCTCCTTCAAGCAAGGGTGACCACAAAAAAACTAGTAATCATAAACTTACATCACAAAAAAACGTTTATTCATACAAATGAACCAATATAACAAAATAAACACAAACAAAATACATCATATAACAGAAGTTCATTTCTCCTCATAAAAAGAATATTAATATCCAGCCAACCCTCTATAAACCCCAATACAATCCAAGCTTCTCTGCACAAATTAATCCAAAAAGAAAAAAAGGAAATTACATAAACACCCTTCAACTCCTACTACATGCAAGACACACCTCACTCAAAAGAAGTACTCCAAATCAATGGTTAATATAACTGCAAACATAACCCTCATGCAAATAAATAATGCATGTGTTTCAAAGCATCAACATGTATAAACGGTACAAAGGTTGGCTCGCAATACGAGGCTGGAAGTGATGTACAAATAAGAAAAACAAACAAACAAGAAAGAAAATAAAACACTCTGCTAGTCAGTCCGATTCTCAACAATCATCAAATCTTAATTGCGCTGGAAGCATACAGCGTGCACATACAAGGACCGGCTAGCTGAGGAAATACAACATAACAAACACTGGAGGAACAGCAATCAACTAAACCTAATATAAAAAAAAAAACAAATAACCAAACACAATTAACAACATTCAAGGAAAAATGACTCAAATTAAAATTTTTTATTTTAATCTCATTAAAATAATAAAAGCAAAACGCTTATAAATACTACATAAAAACCTCTACAATTACCTGCAACACCGCCATCAATCCCGAACTACTTTCCAAAGGTTTTCCAGATCAAAGAAGAATGAGCGTGACCAACAGCAAACAAATCCACGATGTTTACATCTACATTAAAAACATAATATCCTACTTCAATGAAACAAGGCTTTGTTAACAAAACAACCAATGTTCGTTTAGCCTACCTGCTCACCCGGACCATGTGCACAATCAAGCACAGAGGTACTACACATACAGAGGACAGCACAATGTTTGTATCTGCTCACCCAGACCATGTCCGTGCACAAACAAACAGGGAAGTGCTACCAGACAGCGAGCTTCCACACAAAAAGACCGGACCCAGTCTCTAGGCCTCCCTTCAGATGCCCACTTAAAAACTCAAACCACCTGCATGGCCACGCCCTCTACTACTAGCCACCTCCCCGGCTACATTCTTCCCCCCAGAAATTATGCGCCGATGCACACACACACCAAAAACTCTTCGCCCAAGAACAGCACATCAAATCTGTTTCCAGGGCTACAACTCCCCCACTGCTAGAGCTAACTGGTTCATCAGACACAGTAGCATCCACCTCACTTAAGAACTTAAGACACAATGCCTTACGCATTTCCATCCGATGGACCTGCTTCACAGGCACTGCCTGAGACACAGGAGCCACGGAACCACGGAATCCCTGTTCTCCTGATTCACACACCACCTTATACAAACATGAATCATACACATCCTGAATTTTATATCGCCCACGATAATGGTTTTTGAGGTAGACCAACTCA